CACACACACACACACACACACACACACACACACACACACACACACACGACGTAGGTTCTTTTCCTTTTTCCCTGATCACCTTGGGAAACAGACCTAACAGTGATATTACTGGGTCAAAGGGTATACAGTTTTAGAACTCTTTGGGCATAATTCTAGATTGCTCTCTAAAACAGTTGGGTCATTTCTTAATACTAATGCCATTAAAAAAAAAAGTAATTTCCACTGATAAAATCATGTGATGTTGAACCATTTGACAGTGCCAAGGACTTTGGGGACAGAAATGTTCTTTTCTGGGTCTTCAGTAGCTGTGGCTGCAGCACCAGCAGGAGTAGGGGCCAGGCTGATCCCTGGATGGTTACAGAGCAAACCTTCCAGACAGGCGCTGCTTCTTGAGATGGCTGAGGGCAGTGGACTGAAGCGTAGCTATTCCAAGGCTCTTGGGTTCAGGGGCCCTGCTCAGGCTGTCCCCAGCAGAAGCTAAGGGGAGTTGATGGTCAGTGGTTGGTGGCCTGCCCTGCTCGGTGGGTGGTGAGAGGCAGTTGGTGTTATGGTGTTACTGCAGAACCTGAGTGTTAGAAGGCATCTCAGTGTCCAGCTCCTGTGACTCATACATCCAAGGGGTTCCCACTATAACGTATCCAGTCAGGAGTCTCTTTTTGAAGGCCTCAGAGGAGGAGCCCTCACCTCCCCAGGCAGTTCACTCCAGGGAGGATGGGGGCATATTGTGAAGACACTTTTCCTGACATCAAGTCTTAGTCTCTTTATAACTTCCTGCCATGGTCCCATCCCTCTTCTCCATGACAATTCATGAAAATACTTAAAGACAGCTCTTCCAGCTGCCCTCCCCTCCCACACATCCTCTCTTCCTCAGGCCAAACATGCCCAGTTCCTTTCAAAAGGAGCCCTCCATGAATTCTCTGGTCCAACCACTGGCCTCTCCTGCATGACATCATGAAGGACCCCAAGGCCTTTGCACCGGCTGACAGTGGTCTCCCAAGTTTGGAATGCAAGTCCCTTCATTCTTTTCCCTTTAGAATTTTTAGATCCCACCGGCCACCGAGCAGCACCACCCCCCTTCCCCCAGTGCTTTGCATTTACTTATGTGTGTGCAGTTCCCTCAGTGAGCTTTCTCGGGGCTGGGACTGATCTTATTAAAAAACAAAACAAAAACTCCTCTAGTATTCCCCAATCCCTGCCTATCAAGTGGGCAGGTACTTAATGATAACTGGATTGAAAGCGATTAGAAACAGATCGAAGACTTTAGCCTTACAGGCCTGGCTGGGGTGAGTACCTTTTATTCCCTGAGGTCACAGCATTGCTGGACCCCACCCCGCCATCTCCACCCAGGCCTCCCAGGCCTTGGCTGTGCTCTGAACTTGGGAAGGGATGGAAGGAAGCAAAGACTCGGGAAAGGGAGAGGCACAACCACCAGGAGACTGTGACACCCCCAGAGATGGGCAGCCAAGGACTCCCAGGGCTGCAGAGAGACAGAAAGTTGGGAGCCTTGTACGTGGGGGGGGAGGGGCTGGGCAACAAGAGAGAACAGGTCTCCAAGTAGAGTGAGGCCAAATGCCTACACGGCAGGTTTTTCTGATGCCCTCTTGCTCAAGTGCAAGGTCGTGGCTGTATGCTCCTTGACCAGTTCCCGATCCTGCATCTGTATTTCGTTGGGAGAGGAGTAAGATGGGAAGAGCCAGTCACAGGAGGGTGAAGGCATGCACAGGGGATGGGAGAGAGGGGAATAAAGGGGCCAAGAGGACTGGGGAGTTGGGAGGTGGTAGGGGTAGAGATATGGTAGGTAAGATGGAGGGGTTGGCCAGGGTGAGGAGGGAGGGAGGAAGATAGGAGATAGAGAATGGGGGGGATGGAAGGGATGGTGCTTGGGGCTGATGGAGATACAGGGGAGCACGAGGAAGAGGGGCCTCCCACAGGTTCTCCCAAGGCCCCCACTTCTCACCGCCTTGAGGACCTGGGCTAAAATCTCCTCCCGAGTCAGGGGCCGTTCGTCCATCTGCTCCAGCCCCGCTGGATCGTCCCTTGGATGGAAGGGCCTGACTGCCTCAGCCATATTGTAATCCTTCCCTCCCCTAGCAG